AAAGTTCTCCAGTTGTCTCGTCACCAACAAAGACTGGTCCAGACGATGCAAGAGAAGGTCTGGCTCAACGTATTACAGATCTTGAAGTTGGGTTGGAATTTAGATTGGATTTAAAATCTGAAGATTTGAAGCATTTGAAAGAACTTGGAGCAGGCAATGGTGGTACGGTGTCGCAAGTTATGCACATTACCACCAAGACTTTGATGGCAAAAAAGGTATAGTACACTAAGAAAAACTCAGGATTTGTTTGGATCCAAATTTTTTTTTTTTTGCTAATTTTTACATACGTCAGCCAATTACGTTTGATAATTATTTCGAACCATGACCTTAAGAAAAGGCAGACTTTGATGATATATTTCCACTCCTTTTAAATTTCTTGAAATAAATTTCTCTGATGCGGAACAATTTCTTTTTTATTTTCCTTAAATCGATTCATTTTTCAGATTATTCATATTGACGCAAATCCAAGTCTTCGCAAACAAATTCTTCGAGAACTTCAAATTCTTCATGATTGTAATTCAAGATATATTGTATCATTTTATGGCGCATTCATGTCCGATGCAGACATTTCAATGTGTATGGAATATATGGATGTTGGGTAAGTGTTGATATTTTAATAAATTCAATATTACATGCATGATTCTTTTGTTGATATTAATTTTTAAATTTCAACAGAATGATATTCTTTTATAACTCATCTGAACCTTTTTCGTTGTTATATAATTTCATTAATCTAGTTCACTTGATCAAATCTATAAAAAGAATGGACCTATACCTTTAGAAATAGTTGGCAAAATCACGATAGCAGTATGTTTTGGTTTAAATTTTCTTGATGATTCATAATTTTATTATTTATATCAGATTTTATTTTGTTTAACAGGTTTTAGAAGGCCTTAATTATCTTTATGAAAGTCATAGGATCATTCACAGAGGTAATTCTCTATTATTATATATCATTAAAAATTTTTGTAAAATATGCTAATATTAATAATATTATTATTATTGGTATTATAAAGATGTTAAACCTTCCAATATTCTTGTCAATTCAAAAGGACAGATCAAGATTTGTGATTTTGGTGTATCAGGTCAATTGATTAATTCTATTGCCGATACTTTTGTAGGAACATCAAATTATATGTCGGTTAGTTGATTAATCATATAATTTAGAAAGTAGTATTCCCTCTATAAATATTTTTGATAATTCAATAATTTCGATATTTGTTTTCGTTCGTCAAAAATTTTAGCCAGAACGTATTCAAGGTGCTACATATAGTGTTCGTTCTGATGTTTGGTCGGTTGGCATTACTCTGATGGAATTGGCGATGGGTCGATTTCCATTTCCACCAGATGGTAGTCAATTGACTGTGTTGGAACTTTTGCAACACATTGTAAATGAGGCCCCACCAAAACTACCAGCTGGAGAATTCCCAGAACACTTTGATGACTTCGTTCAGAAATGGTGTGTGGAAGAATTTATTATCATTATATGGCGCATGAGAAAATTTCAACAGTTTATTCGGATTTTTTATTTATCGGAGTTAAGAAGTTATTATATTTAATTAGAATTTTTTTTTTTTTCCTCCCATATTTAGTTTGATCAAGGAAGTAAGTGGTCGACCATCTCCAAATGAATTGTTGGTAAGGATTTAAAATTTATTTATTTATTTATTTTTTTGACGATGAAATTATAATTAATTACATTCTTACCTAACTAATGAATAATTTTGATTTTAATTAAAAAGAAACATCGTTACGTTACAGATGCCAAAGAATCCAAAGTAGATGTTGAAGCTTGGGCAAAAGGCATTAATAGATAATAAAAGAGGGTAGACTTTAGAAGGTATGATAGTTATTAGATTCTTGAAAGCATAATAAGTATCTTTTTTTAGTGTGTTCATTAGGTTAGGAATATGTGAAAGAGGAGAAATGAAAAGCACCGAGACAAATGATATTGTTCAATTATCATGATGATGGAGAGAGATGTGTTTTGTCAAAAGAAAGATAAATTTAATTAGTTGATATGATATATTATATATTTCTTAAACATATATTATGTGTATAGAAATTATTATTATTTTTATTATTATTATTTTGTCATTAAGAACCGTTATTGCGGTCATTCTATTTGTGAAAAATAATATCTTATATTGAAATTAATAGATAAATAATATTATTGTTATTACTATTATTATTTATTCACAGTGTAATAATATTAATATTGTATACTATTATTAGAAAGAAAACTGACACAAATTTGATACTTTTTTCTTTTTGTGAATAGTACTTTAATCAAAAAATATGAAACCAAAAATTATTTAATATAAAAGGTAGGTAATTAATTAATAAGGGTATTAATGCGATTAAATTCGTTACAAGAGAAAGATATATCGAAAGACAGAATTAAAAATAAACGTTCAATTAATTATATTAATTATATTGTTAAATTAATTTTAATCGAGTTAAATATCTATAATTAAGATTTAAATGGTAGATCAACTCCATAAAAAATTTTTTATTGTTCTTATTCTTTTGTTACCGCCAAAAAGTTTTGTTGATCTTAAATGTCGTCATATGTAATTACACAATTTCCAATAAAAGTCTAGTATAATCGGACTAAGATTTCTGTATTCGTAATATACTATATATATATATAGTAAAATACAAAGAGATTTTCTTTTTTTAATGGGTTATTTTTGAATATATGAAATTTTAATAGTATAGTGAGGACAAATCGTTACCCGTTTGATATCAAGTTCAACCTTTTTTTTTAAAAAAAAAAAAAAATTGCTGGTTCAATAAACTTAAACCTGTAAACTTATTTGGGCATTTTGACAAAGATCAGAAGGAAATGGAAAATCAAATTACCATTATATTGGGTAATGGTGGTATCACCTTTCATGTGTAATCAAAATTAGATCGATAAAACATTGTTCAATTTTTTTTTTTTTGTTAGGAAACAATACGGAAATTTTTTAAAGAACACACATACCACCATTTTTTACCATTTTTAATCGTCAAATTACGTAATGATTGTGACGCTAGAAACTGATGTGCGAGGTAAGATATGATACAAGAATAAAGTTTCTTTAAACGTAACTCAAAAAAAGTAAAATTGATGAAAATTTATCTAGAAAAAAATTACAGATGATGTGATGAAATCCGCAATCACGAAATCTCCAATTTTTTTTACCCCAAAGTTTATCTTTAAATTCATGCGTGGGGAAGTCCCCAAAGATAAAGGTAACAAAAGATATTCACTGCACATCCACGTGGGTTCATTGATTGTTGCAAATCATTCCCTTACGGGTATGAAAAAAATATATCAATTCCATCAATTCAAAAAGTTTTCTTTTGCAATTCTTGGTTTATTTGGTTCGTTTTCTTTGTTCTTCTGCTTTCATTTTTCATTCGTTTTTAAAATTATTTTCCATGGTAATCTTTTTCCGTCTGTTAATGAAATCTTGGGCGCTCAATCACGTTTTAATTGGTTTTCAGTAATTTGTTTATAACACGAAGGAAATTGTGGTACTTGAACAAACTTTTATTGTTATCATGTGTATTCTTTTGGTCCCTTTCGTTAAATCTTGAATAAAATACATGTCATTATTCTATTATTCATCATAAAGAGTCATCTAAAAATCGTTGATCAAAACAAGTTGATAATTACCAAAATTGTTTAGGCATACAATTTGCGTTCCCAATCTGTCAAATTTAACATTCGTTTTTATTACAAGGATTAGTTTGATAATAGCGTGATTTGCTTGGTTCAGCTGGGAATTAATAACTAACCGCAGTAAGTGTCGATCAAAAACGATTAACCTGCATGCAATATATAAAAAAACTGGTTCTTATCCACTTTTAGTTTTTTTTGCTAATTAAAAAAATTTATATATCTTACCCTCTTTAATTAATGGGCCTTTTTTTTTTTTTTTTTTTTTTTTTCCTAATTTTACATAATTATTATAAATTCACCCTGTTTTCTTTTTTTTCTCTCTCTTTTTTTTTTTTTTTTTTTTTAAAAAAAAAATCCATTCGATTAAAAATTTTTGAATCGCAAAACATACTGTAATTGACATCTCTTCCGCGTGACATTATTTAAATGTGGCAGTTTTAAAAAAGAAAAAAAAAAAAAGAAAATCCAAGTAATAATACATTAAAAGCTGTTTTTATTATTACCATCATTATTATTATTTCAAAAAAAAAAATTTTCCCTAAGGATTTCTTCTGACCGAGCTTTTTCATCATTAGACCTAAACCAAATTAATAAAATTTTTATTTTTTTTCTGGAAATTTGCTGTACGACAAGTTGTATACATATTGAATTCATATCATAAGACGTAATATTGAAGACATATTTCATATCTTAGACGTATTTAGGATGGTTACGGTTCTTTGAGGTAATTATTTGAAAATTTTTTTGATGACCATCACAATACCCAATTCAGACTATTCATATTATTAGGAAAAAAAAATGCTTTTTTTTTTTTTAATACCGCACCCTCAAATTTTACGGATCCCTCTTTTACCCCCCAGCGAGAAAAAAATTTTTAAAAATTATTATACAGGCACTCATAGAGGAGCCCCGTTTGCTAAAAAGTCGGGATAAACAAAGCCTTTACCCGCTTCTCAATTTTTTCCTTTCCCCTTTTCACCATACTAACCCAACTACATTTTCGTTCCTTATCCCTATTCTCTTTGTATTATCTCTTCTTATTATCTTTCCGTCCCTTTATAAATATTCCTATCCGCATAATCTGTTTCGAGGCGCTCACCTGTAACCTTTTCCTAAACCAATATATTTTTTCTATTTCTTATCTATTAAGTTAAAGAAGTTATATATTAGAAAAAACATTTTTTTTGCTTACCATCCGAGCGGGAATAAAATTGTAAATATTTGTCTCTAATAAAGTTCGTCAATACTTGATAATTTTTTTATTTTGAAAGAAAGCTCTGATAGCTTGAAAAATTAAGAGGTATCTGCGTTGCTGGACGACATGCATATGCCTTATGGGAAGTCGCATACGGCGGGTTATGCAACAAGGAATCAAAAAGCAAAGGTAAGGCGATTCAACAAGATCGTGTAATAAACTCTTGCATTACTATTAAAAATTCTCAAAATCTTATTTGCGATTTCAACTAGCTCGCCGCTGATTACCAAGAATTATTAAAAGAACTTTCAACGACTACCAATATACAGTCGGTCGGCAATTATGTTTTAGAAAAAACGCTGGGTGAAGGTAAACTAATAATAATAATAATAATAATAATTAATAATTCTTTGTTGCACTTTAAAACAATTAACTTTCCTTTAGGATCGTATGGAAAGGTTAAGCTTGCAACACATAAACTGACCGGTCGAAAGGTAAAGCCGTTGAATTATAATTCACTACAACAAATTTTGTTTTTTCTTTTTTTTTAAAAAAAATATATATAAATATATATATATTTATATCTTTATTTAATTCTCGGATTAGGTCGCAATAAAAATAATACCAAAAATTCATGCCGAGAACCTCACTCGTGAAATACATCATCACCGTTATTTACATCATCCTAATATCATATCTCTACTCGAAGTCATACCAACAGAAACCAAAATTTATATCGTTTTGGAATATTGTGAAGGTGGAGAGTTATACGATTTTTTAGTTGTACGGGGACGCCTGAGAGAAAATCTGGCAAGGAAAATGTTTGGCCAGTTATGTAGGGCGGTCAAATATTGTCATGACAGAAGAGTGGTTCATCGGTATGATAATTTGCTAATCTATCAATCGTTGGTCGTTATGTATATGGACTCCTTCATCTAATCGATAATTTATCGTCATTTTAAATTCCATATTATGTAGGGACTTAAAGCTCGAAAACATTCTTCTCGATTCTTATAATAATATAAAATTAGCCGATTTTGGTTTTACGCGGGAATGTGAAAGTAAAAGATTACTAGAGACAATATGCGGTTCAACAGGGTACTCTGCTCCAGGTACGTGACCAATTTAATTTATAGTACAAAAAATACAAAACATTAGTGGAATTTTATGTTAGAGATTTAATGTCAAGCGTACAACCTCGATAGTGTAATCTCTCTAGGAGAATTTAGTCAAATCATAGGAAAATTTTACTACTGTAAAATCGAATTTTTCAAGTTAATTGAAAAGGTGAAATTTATTAGTGTTGCTAATAAATTCTCAAAGTTTCTTTCCCATTCGTTTCATTCTTATATTTCGCGCTCGGTATATAATAGTGTGTGCTATATTATTTTCATAGTTTTTTTTTATTATTTTATTTTATTTTATTCACGAAAACTGGTAGTTTTTTTTTCGGATTATAATATGTGTTATACTCAAATATCTTCTCTATGTTGTCTTCATGATTTCCTCCCTTTTAGAAATGTTACGTGGCAATAAATATTCTGGATTAGGTAAATTAGAGACTTATTTTTATTTGTATTATAATCTAGATCAAATCGTTGTAGCAGTGATATCTAATGTTTTTGATTTAACCAATTAGAGATTGACATATGGTCTCTTGGCGTGATTCTCTACACATTGCTTTGCGGCGTACTTCCTTTTGATGATGATGATGAAAATGAGATGAGAAACAAAATAATAAAGGGCGAATATGAAATGGAAGAGTTTTTATCAGACGGTATTTATATTTTTTTTTTATAAAAAAAAAAAAAATTAATTCGGGAATTGTATTAGGCGCAGCAAAGTATAATTATCTGACAAAAAAATTCAAGTGATTTACTTATAGTATAGTTTTTTTTTGGTAAATTTGAGGTGGTCTGAGAGCCAACTCGCGCAAATTTTCATGGAAAAACGAATTCGCTATTATAAAAACTTATGTTAATTGTTAAAAAAAAAAAAATTGTCATATCCTAAAATATTTTGGAATTCGGAACCGAGTACAACATTTTTATTATCTTGCTGCGCCTTGCATGACTTATCAAATATTTTTTTCTAATTTTTTTTTCCTCTTTTTCCTTTTCCGTTAAATTTGAATTATTACAGAGGCCCAAGACCTAATACGTTCAATATTACAATTGGAACCATCAGAGCGACCGACATTAAAACAGATTTTGCAACACGCATGGTTTAAAATGAAAGATGAGGAAGAATATGATGATGATGATGATTGGGCTACATCAGATGAAATAGCCGATGATGAATCAATATCATCAATCGAAGAGAATAGTGTAAAGGAACCTATAAAAGAAGTAACAATTACTTCTTCATCAAAAGACATTCATCTAGATGCAACAAGTCATCTTGAAAGACAACGACAAGAAATATTTTTGGCGACAAAACAACAACATAACGCTTCATTATCAAATCATTATCCCATGACATTTACTCGACATAATAATTCATATAATAATAATAATGTTATAACTTCAACATCATCAATTGCACCATCAGCTTTTAAGAGTCGAATGAAAAGTTTTTCACCTGCAGCTGGTCCTTCACCGCCCAAGGTTTTGGGTCCTTCGACGTCAAAAACGTCTCGAAGATCCTCAATTGATAGTAAAGCTTTTAATGAAAAAGTTTTCTTTACGACGCCCGAGGAAAAAGAATTATTGGAAAAATTAGAAAATTTGGGGTTGGACATAACAGGAATAAAAGATAGTGTTTTGGAGGGTAAAGTTGATTCTGCTAGTGGACTTTGGTGGCTTTTATTGGCCAAATTAAGAGAAAAGAGAAAAATTGAAGGAGTACAAAGTTCTGTAACAATGGTAAATGTGGCAGTTGGTACAAGTGATGAAGAAATTGAGATAGCGGAAGAAACTGAAGAAGAATATGATTCACCAGAAAATAGTATAGAACTTGATAGGTTACAAGAAGAGGATGTGAAGGATGTGGATTCTATAAAATCTTCGGAAAATATAATGTCACCTCCCACACCACCACCAAAAACATATCATGCTGCCCCTGCTTCGCGTGAAAGGCGAAAGTCATTGATTTTATCGCTCCCGGAGGCAGTAGAACCTGTTCTAACCACTATTACCGCCACGGCCTCTCCTCCTCTATCACCTAAAAAGTTTTCATCATTTACTAGTCCTATTAGTTCACGATCAGTTAGTCCAATACCGAGTATCAATCCTATGCCAATGCCTATATCAAATAGTAAAAATGCTTATCGAAAAAGAGGAGGGTTATTATCAACGATTAAGGGATGGTGGGGTGGTTCACATAATCCAAAAGATGTTAATAGTGCATATAAAAAAAATATGTTAAATTGGGCAGAGAATGGTGTGGTGGTTCCGGCTGATGTAGCTCATGTAAGGTCACGAATGAACAGAAGAAGAAGTGGTAGTAAAACGCCACCAGGTTTTGAAGGTGCAAATAGTTTTAGCCTGTCAAGAAGATCATCATCAATAAATCGCGGTTCATTTAGAGACAAAAAGAAGAAGAAAATTCCAATACAAGGTATCAAGGGAGGGAATAAACGTGCTACGCCTACACCTGCACCTTTAATGATACCTCCTGTCACGCCTTCAATCGTTCTCTCACAAAGTTCACCTACAATCATGTCGCCGATACCTGGAACGCCACCAGCGTCAAGACCCAAGACTTTGTTTACCAAAAATCGGCGAATTCCTTTTGCATATCAAGGTTCATCACGTAAACAAGTTAAACGACGGAGTATAAATTCAATAAATAATTTACTGGAAAATTTTAATACTGGTGCTGGTTCTGGTTCATCCGAAGACAATACTAATCATGTTAATAATCTTACTAATAATAATGAACAAAAAAAGGACACTTTTGAGAAAAGTGCGATAGAAAACATTATTTCTAAAGATGAACACACAATAGATGAACAATTAATGGTGGTAGAGTCATCTAAATCTAAAACAATAACATTAGCTTCACCTCCACCAACACCACCACCTAATAATAAGGATAATCATAGTAGCACTAATCCATCTCGAATATCTAAATGTGAACAAGTAGGATCACAAAATGTTGATAACCGCAAGAAATCAGAGGAAACTTTAATATCAAATTTGAGTGATGGCGATGAATCAGATGTGTTTGTTGATGCTGCAAGTACTTTTACATATAATCCAAGATCTCGTTCAGCTTCACCATCAACTTCAGCTTCACCGTCACCGAATAATTCACCTGTAATTAAACCCGAAGTAACCATCGTGAGTCCACCTTCTTTTTCCTCACCACAATCTCGTTCACCAATAAGTATCACACCTCCAAGACCTCAATCTCAAACAACAAGCCCAGTGTCGCCACCTTTGTCACCAATTGAAAATGTCGTTGTTCCACCATCATCATTGCATAGCAAGAATAACGCTCATAAAACACAAGCTCGTTCCGATGCATCACGGACCTCTTTTCGAAGAGGTAAACAATCAGAAGAAAATGTTTCACCTATCGAAAAATCAATTCCGCCCCCTACAAAGTCTGTAATGAATTTAATGTCAACGCCGCCAGAGTCACCAAAATTATCGAAACCAACACCTTCATCAGCATATTTACACCCACAAAGTAAATATCGTCAAAATGCGCGCTCTTATTCTTCACCAGCAGCTTTATCGTTGAACAATGTTAGCGAAGACAATATGGAAGATAATCATCATCATGGTGATAATAATAATAATAGTAGTAGTAGTAGTAGTATTAGTAATATATATGGAATAAAGAACATTGGTATTGATAATAAGCGTGACTCATCACATTCTCCACCAAATATGAATGCTTCGCAGATGATGTTTTTACAGAATAATGGGCGAAATACACGACAGAGGACTTACTTTAATCAGAGTTCGAGTATTAATAGGACAAGTATAGCTAAACCTCCAAAACCAGCGATGATTATTGAAGAAGAGGAAGAAGAGTGACAAACAAAAATCAAAAAAAAAGGGTGCATTGGCATCTAATGGACTATTTTTTCGGGCCATGATTTGTATTTTATTCATAGTTGATGAGTTCGTGCGTTTATGTTGTATTTTTAATATATTATTGTCGTTGTCAATTAGTTCCTCTTGCCTCCTTTGTTTATTTATTCAATATTTACACCACTTAAAAAAAAATAAAAACTATTTCCCCTTACTGTGTATAAAAAAAAAAAAAAATAAACTTTTAATGTTCATTTATTAAACAATTAGTTTACATATAATTTATGAAAATAGTTAAAAATATATATATATATATATATAGTTATATGATACGTTTTTTCATTTCATAAACTCTCTATACCATTACATATCCTTGATTTATTCCTTTATTCCTATTTTAGATTTACATTTTTTTTTTTTATTTTAGAAATTTTTTTTTTTTTTCATGAAAAAAAAAGACTATTGAGCTTAACGTGAGTGTGAAGTTAACTTTAACAAAATTCCGCTAAATATTATCCGACTAATCTTTTTTTTTTTTTTTTTTTACAGGTCATTATGCATGATAATGCGCATTAAGTTAGAATTTAGAACAAACATAGATATTAGATATCGATAAGAACAAAATATGCCATCATGGGTTTTTTTTTTTTTTTTTTTTTTTTTTTTTTTTTTTTTTTTTTTTTTTTTTTTTTTTTTTTTTTTTTTTTTTTT